ATCACATACTTCTAAGCACAAATACAGTGTAACCAAAATCTGAACCTCTTCAAAGAACCTGTGTACCAAAGACTGCCTCAATGATATCCCTTACAGCCTGACATCAGTGCATCCCACTTTCTCCTCGCTTATTTATGAAGCCTTCAAGTTACAGTTACTTCTTAAAGGGAAACCATTTGTGGTTCATTCAAAGTGTGAAACAGAACTGCAACAGGAAGCTGCACAGATGCTTAAAGACTTCTCCTGTCTGAAAATGAGGTGGCTCAAAAGCAGATGGAAACACTAACAAAATGGGCTGCCACAGAGTACACGACTATGAATTCACCGCAGACTTCAATTGCATTCTATGCTCTCTATCATCATACAATACTCCACAAAACAGAGTAATTTTTAGGTGTGTCTAGAAGAAAGTCTATGTGGTTTTGAGTTTATTACCTCCCCATGCCCCATTTTGAACACAAATTACCTTTGACGATGCCCACGCTGCGGTGAGTAACTGATCCCCATTTGTATTTGGGTGTGGTGACAGAGCTTTTCACACGCACTTTGTCACCTATCTTGATATGAGAGGCAGAACTCTGTGGTGGGAATCCTAGCAGATGCAAGAATAAATGTATAGTGAGTGGGCTTTCCCCCTCCAAAAATACATCTCCCTTAGTCTACCACTCACTTTTTTTAGTTAAAATGCAGTCAGAAGTGAACTCACCTAAAAGCTCGACATGGATGTATCTGACCCAGTAAGTACCACCCTTTTGTTGCCAATCACACTGCACGTTCAGATCATGCAATCCATCTCGATCCAATTTAATAACTTTGCCTACATCTCCTTCACAAACCTCCTCGTAGGTTCTGCAGCACCTAACCATCATCCCCACCTAGGGAAAAAAGGACAACAGAACGGCTCTGTAACAGATTCAGTACCAACATGAAAGCAGTTTCTTTGTTGATTTTGATCATCATACTTACCTGAATATTCTCCCTAATATAGACAGCATAGTCATCATTGCTTAAGAAATCAGCTCGTTTCTTATAGGTCTGGCTCTCTGTTACAACAGCACCACTTGACTGGAAAAAAGTTCAAATAAATATGAAACAATTAAAAAGTTCGTTTTCAATTCAGATAAATAAAATTGTTGGCAAAGACTGAAGATAACCCAACAAAAATAAACCCATACAATATCCTAGCCAATATCCCAGCTGCATGCCAAAAATGGGAAAATACTTCAACAGGTTCAACTCACTGTAAGGATAACACTGATGATCTACTTGATTTTGAATTAAAATTTACTTTCCAAAATTACTTATCAAGGAAGATAGATGCAAATTTTCAAAATGTATGAAAGAAGCTGCAAGTTGCTTTTATGAAACCCGACTGTCAGAGAAAATCAGAACAGAGAGGATTTGTCCTACTCAAATTAGCCTTGAAGATACTCATTCACATTCTACTTCTTAGGACACTTGTTGGAGAAGGAAAAAAATAAAAAAACAAACAAAAAAGGGAATGGTAATCTCTAACCTAAACCTTACTGACTTTTCTTTAGATAGTACAATGAGATTTAAAGCACTCCTTTAGAAAATCAAGTTAAAAATTATTCAAGATTTGATTAGCTTAATGCTTTTTAAGAGAACTACTTCATTCCCGCTGTAATGAGAATTTTCAGAGAAATTTGTTCTGTTCCAAGTATTAAATGTGGGGTTTTTTTTTCATTAATAGCAATATATAGCAGTTTTTCACTGCAATACTGATAAAGATACCAAAAGCTGTCAAGCTGATTTCCTTCAAAATATAATGCATTAATTTCAATTACAAAATCGCAAATGTGCAAGAAAACTCAACGTAAGTCCTTCAAGGATAAACAGAAATATGAAACCCATTTAATTTTATTGACAAGTCCTTCTCTGAAACAGTTCTTGAAAGTCAACAGATGACTAATATAAATTCACATTAAACACATCACACTCAATAGGCACAGTAACATAATTTTATCGTCCACAAATGGACAAAGTTTTTATAAGGAAAAGGCTAAGTTATTTAATAGACTTTTTTGCCATTTATTCAACTAGTTATTAAGTCCTTCCTTGTAGGTAGCATATGTTTATTTTTCAGACCAAGGGAAAGGAGAAGAGAGAACTCCTTTACCAATATTACACTATAACATCAAGTAATTTTGAAGAAACTAAGAGCATCTATCAGGAATACTTGGAGCTACCACCAGTGAAACATCTACCTGCATTCTACTCTCCCCTGTGCTAACTCAAGAAGTATTTATGGATTATTCTTTGTTTTATGTCAAGTCTTAGAAACACAGGGCAAACATGATCCTTGTTACTGTTTTGAAGGCTTGGGACAGCAGGCCGTCCTTGTACTCTTGACATTTTC